GTCGGAGCCGAAGGATTCAGACCTGTTCAGGAAGCCGACGGGTTTTCTGATCATTTTGATTCTGCTGGTCAGGTGCGTGCACTCTCATTTGAAGACAAATTCGGGGCCCTTATTGAAAGCACACCAGTCAATTGGGTGTTGCTTTTGCTTCCTGTCTTTCGGCTTGATTTCCTCTAGGCCTTGAGGGATCGGCGATCGGCTCATCACCGCGTTCGTTGGAGATCACCGCGTTGTTTGGGTTTCGGACCTTGTTTCTTTCGGCGCCAAATGCACACCGAGTAAGTGGAGCCAAACCACTGCAGAGGAGAGGCAGCTCAAATCGGCCGAAATGGGCACTGAGCCGGACACTGGCGGGCCGATCAGTTCGGACGGATGCTCTTGGTATCTCTAGTTGCTGCAGGTTGCTGCGAGGCGGTTCGGATTTGTTGGCCTAATCTGGAATTTGAGGTTTGCGATGAGCTTGAAGAGCTTTGCGGGATCCGGTGCCATCCGAAGTGCCCAGGCACCCAAGGCCGCTGAAACTGTGCTGAGCGGCGGCCAGCCAATGCATTTAACTTTCCAATATTCAACTATTACTTCTATCTACTTACCGGACAGAGCAAAAAATGCAAAGGATTGGACACAAGCCAAAAGTAGCATAAACTAGCTATATAATGCCTTATAAAACACCATGTTAAAGTATGAAACACCTCTTAGGAAGGCCATGAGCATACATCTTTAAACCACTCCCAAAATAAACATCATTTTGTATGGAGCTCATATTTAGAACGCCTATTAATTAAGATACATGTTTTATTGTATATCTTCTTGATCAAGCTCCAAGAAAATAGAGTTTTGACACAAATCAACACTGTCAATGTCTCTGTAACACCACCTCTTTAAGCTAATTGAAAGTATTCTTGGCACAGGATGCCCCGTAGAACAGTTCAACACCTCTCTGCCAATCATGCTCACTTTTACCAATTCCTGAGAAAACAGCTTACACAGTCTCTTCATGTACCTTTCAACTCCTTTCACGTGCCTGTCCTGTTGAATTTTTAGAACTTTAAGGTCCTAGGTTTGTTTTTGCAGTCAGGTTCATTGTTTACTTCAGGGCAGGAAAGTCTCCGCTAACAATATGGAAGCTCAATGGCAGCACTAGCACTACATATATATATGTATTCATAAGTTCATATATATATAAATATATATATATATGTGTAATATCTCTCTCTCTGGCGAGCGTGACTCGTCCCACAGTCGTCTGATATAATTATCTTATCATTATATCACTGTATCACATTATGGTCGACTGACTGCGGCAGGCAACAAGTCAACAAACAAAACAGCGCTACAGTGACCACAGCATACATCGAGAATGAACAGAATCCCAAGAATGTATACTGTACTGTATGTATTGACATTTGTATCCATCTGATTGGGAAAAACTATGACATCTTCATTCCAAGGTATTCCATCACTGGGGCGCGTTGCAGCAATGGTGCCAAGCTCAAAGAGTCAGAGCCACGGGCTCCCACGATCCTCAAAGCAACTGAGCCACCGAATCACATGACATTGGCAAACTGACTTGTGATGTCAGAAGAATTCTGCATGGGACTTCAAACAGATTCCAAACACTGAAGCGAACGCATACAAGAGTTGCAAACACGAGAAGCGCACTCGATGAAGGACAACCGGGACAAGGCCTTGCAACAAAGAAAGCAACCCTTTGGCAAAAACGGTGTGCATCTGACAGTACCAAGTGTGTACAATGTACATATCACCACCTCCTTCCCTGAAACCGTGACTTGTGACAGCACAGCACTACAGCACTGCAACTTCTTCTTTTCTCTTTTGTCAACCTTGTTTTGTCTCCAGTACATGGCACAGCACAAGGCCCTGAGCTCTATTCTTTCAAGGCCTAGCTTCTATCTCCAAACCACCCGCTGCACACACTCATTCGTCTCTCTCTCATCGTCCACCTCCACGACCTCCACCTCCACCTCCACCGCCACCGCCTCCACCAGGACGGCCTTTCCCATCATCTCCCATGCTAGAGAAGAGGAGGACTGCTATGGCGATGACCCACCAATACTTCCGGAGGAAGGACTGTTGCTGTGGCGCTTCTTGCGTCTTGATGCTTCCATCCGCTTCCCGCACAGCCGCTTGCACTCGCGGCCCTTCAAGGCGAGACGGCTCGGAGAGGTGGACTTGCGTATGGTCAAAAAGCATCAACCCAAGAGTGTGCTTGACCCTGTAGGATAGAGCTACTGGTATTCCAGCATCACTGACAAACACCTCCAGGATGTCGTGCCAGTCCTCGAAGTGGTCTGCAAGGAGCTTCATGGGGATGGCCGCTTGTAGCGTCCTCTTTGGGCTTGCTGGGTTGTACATGCGGATGGCGTAGTATTGATCTTTGCCTGCAGCCTCACTGATCCTCGGTAACGCGTGCGGGCAACATGTACCACTGAAGGCTAAACGGAGGGTGTGTGTTCAGAAAGGGGGTCAGCAAAAATCGCTTATACGAAGTTAGTGCATCAAAAATACCTTCCACGAAGTTCTGCGAAGGTTTCTGGGATTTCGTTGCAGTCAGTTCTCCTACTGGCCCACCATTCCACGAACTGTCCACGAACAGCCTTGGGTTCTACGAAGGTCACGCGCCTTCCACGACGTTAGTAGAATAGGTTTTTGCAAAACCCCTTCTGGGCACTACCCTTCCGTTTGCCTTTGAACCACCCTCTATTCCCTTTGAACACGCTATGTGGGAAGCGGGAAGCGTGCAAATAGCTGCAGTATGTGTTGTTTGCTCTTTCTCAATGCCTGCGAAGGGGCATCTGTTGCAATTGGGGCTTCAGCTGCACGAACTCCTTTGCATCGGAAAGCCGCGCTTCGTAGCCTGCCCCATGGCCGGAGAGCATCATGGTTCCTCTGGGCATCCATTTCACAGCATCACCCAGGACTCCATGTTCCATGACCTCGGTTGAAGGGAATCTATATAAACCATTAAGCCTGACAAAAGCCCTTTTGGTGCCATTTAGAATTTAGACATGTAAACGGCAAACATATGACAACATGTGCCAAAGCAAAGGCGAGTCAACGTAGACAGAAGATGGTGTTTGGGATGAACCAATGTCTTCGCTGCCTGTGGCATCCTCTGAGTTGGCCAAAGCCTCGCTATAGGCTGCTTCTTCATCCTCTTCTTCGGCAACCGCGTACGCAAGCACGGCGAGAAGAGACAAAAGCTTGGGCAATTTCCATGCCATGCCGGCAATGGCGCGATTTCTGTCCTGGAGCCTGGGGCTCCCGCATCCGGCTGGAGCCAAACAACAAAACATACATCGCTGCAATGGCACTTTGACATCTGAACAACTGACCGATCGTCAATCTTGTCCCTCAGACTCACCCACTTAAGTTGACTCAAATGTAAATTTGACCTCGCCTCATGTGCGTCATGCGCAAGCACCATGAGTGAGCCGGTGTCCAACGTGCAAAGGAACCTGCCAGGAAAAATATGGAAACATTGAAGGAAGTCTGTGCTTCAAACAACTTGAAACAATTCCCACACCAACAGGCCATGCTTGTGACATGCAAAACGCTCCCAAAACCTATGACCGTTGACCGACCGTCTTAATCTGACAGACCGCCTCTCTGATGTTGAGCCCGCTCGCATGAATCGCCTCAGGTCTGAGGCCATTGAGGCCACTGACTCGCACAAAGGATCCACGAACCCAGACTTTCTTGTTTTCTTTCCAAAAAGCAATTGCCTCCAACGTAATAGCGGCCTCCAACCTAATAGCAATGCCAAAGCCCATTTCTGCGGAACGATCAGCTCAGACTCAAGCAGTGATGGCAATGCGTTTATTAGCCTCTGTGGTTTCAAGATCCAGAGCACACACACAAAATGTACATTTTTCGGAAATACATTTATTACACACTTACACTACACTACACAACCTATCTTTCTTCCTCCTTCCTTAGTTTCTTGTTCTTCCATCGCAAGCCGCACACACCAACTTGGGTGTCTTTCCCTTTGCCAGAGAGGATGTTCCATGACAATCCCAGGCTAAGCAGGAGATTTGTTGGGGTGACGGCGCTGAAGCATGCCAGCCAAGATGCCGAGCAAGCAACTGGCCACCCTCAGGTAGCCGCAAACAAAACAAGGACCTGCTGCATTACCATTGGCTTCTGTTCCGTGTCTCTCCTTTCCATTCTCTAACCAACAAATGCAAGTCGTCCCTTTTTTTGCCACAAAGGGGCTCCACGGAAGGTCAGCAAGTTCAAGACCAACAGCTCCACGGCCGGGGGCCTCGTTGTGGAGCTAAAGAGACGTCGCAGGTGAAGTCGCAGGGGGGGACGCTGAAAGGCCCAAAACGGAGTCTGCCTTAACTCGCGATGGCCTCCAACCTAATAGCAATGGCCTTAACCTTGCACTGCGGTCCCTACGTGGAAAGTTCACCAGCACAAAATCCATCAACAAAGGCCTCATGCTTGCGCTGTGATTGCATCAAATGCGCAGCGATCACGCGAGAACACCAGTGGATAATATAACAGGTGCTTCTAGCCAGCATCAAACTTGTGATCTTCTACGGTTATCTGATCATCCGCAAACAATAATCCAATCTTTGGCGAATAAATGCCTTTAAATGAATACTGGTGTCAAATCTTGGACATATTTAGCGTCGGATTGGGTTGCTCTGGGTCAGCCGAAGAATTGTCAACTGCCACTGAAATGGCCCAGCATGAGCAAAGCCATGCCCGTTGAACACTTGATGTCGACAACACACGATGGCCTTCAGCATGTGCTGCAGTTGTCCTTCAGCGCTTTCTATGCCTACCTCCAAGAATGCTCCAGCTCCAACGATGATGAACACAACAGAAAAGCAAATAAAAAGCAATGCGACCGCTGAGCTCTGCGTCGTAGGTTTCGTGGACAAACGATTTCGTCGAAAGCACGGCCCTCAGCCCTCAGACTTTTGCCGGCGAGCTCTGTGCAGCTTGTCAGCTGAGCTCTGCGGTAATGATCATTCCTGAATGTAGTCCATTGGCTTGTTCCAAATCCTTGACAAGGAGGCAACATTCAGCTGCGACTAATTACCCGCACTATATTATTTGGAAGTAACTGCGCCAATCTAGCCTAGATGGTTCTCACAATCTTTGACAATGGATGATGCAAATACGTGCCTTTACCAAAAAATAAATGACAATATCTTTTTCGGCCAACTAATTATGGGTGCAAGGGGCATGAGACAAATCCCTGGTTTAAGTGAAGCTGAGAATCCACTTGTTGGCCGACCATTTGACTCCTCTCTTCACTTGGCACCCGCCGTGCAGCGAGTATTCATCCGCTTCAGCGGAGGGATGCTGCGAGTAGAAAATGATAATCCGCCCGCGCCTCCGAAAAGGTTGAACGTTTGTCACGCTGATTTTCTCAGAGAGATCTTGAAACTAGCCCCTCATGCAGGACATCGAATATACAGAAGGCAGCTTCCCTGCAGCGTTTCAAACAGAAAACAAACATTTGAATATGAATATAGTTGAATGCAGCATGCATGTTTTTCACAAGCGGTGCTTAATCACGTGTGTGCTTTCACGGGCCTCGGATAAACAGAAATCCCCCTGGAGCAATCGCCAAAGTCATGTGGCTGGGGCAAACCATCTGCTCGAGGGAAGTTCGTCTCGCCACCTGCGAAGATGGATCTGAAAGGACATCGAAAGGAATCAGTGACCCAGCCCAACCACAAAGATCGCAAAGGGGTCAGGAAGGGCTCCTTGCGATGAGGCTTTTCAACAAACGATGCCAAGCACCTGGCCTTCCTCCACATCAGTTAAGTAGAAAAAGACCGTGGCCAATCCTCAGCAACGGAAAACCATCACCATCCATGACCGAGAGAAAGCGCCTGGGGTTGAAGCTGGTGTGTCTCCGAGGGACGGTTGAAAAGCCCCCTCTTGATCATTTCTTGGATGTCCCTGTTCTGCGCATACATCTCAGGATCAAAATAATCATGGTGAGCCTCAGCATCAATTTGGATCCCCAGCGTCTGGCCTCAAAATGGAATTGAGCTCAGTTGCCACATATTGCTCACCCTGCCTTAAAAGTCCCAACAAGGAAAGGGCCCACACGCAACTGACTGAGAATGCTGCTCGGGCAAAACAACAAACAACTGTTCGAAAGTGGTCTGAAACAGGTGTGCAATGCCCCACCCAAACCTGGCAGGCTTCTCTTGGCATGAACTTCTATGAACTTCTGCATGTTTCCGAAACAAGTTGCTCATAGCGAAGAATCTGCGCCAATTCTTGGTGCGTCTTCTTGATCAATGTCAAGGCACTGACTCGGTCGTCAATCCGCCTCAAAACCGCATCCTCAGCGCATCCATCTTATTGTTGATGTGACAAACTTAGAATTGCGTGATATCGTGTTATAATGTTAGATTCGTATTAGTCGGGGGGGCCCTTCCCCCCTCGGTTCTTTTTTTGGGCGTACTTTTTTCGAGGGTCCGTAATAAGGGAACCTCTGGAGTAGTAGTAGTAGTAGTAGTAGCAGTAGTAGTAGCAGTAGTAGTAGTAGTAGTAACCGTATTAGGTAGTAGTAGTAGTAGTACTACTACTACTGCTACTACTACTACTACTTATGTGTTTTCTTTTGTTAAAAGATAAATATAAAGGAAACATTCTCGAGCAAGCCAGGAGCCACTGTTTTGTTTTTTTCGTTTTTTTGGTTTGCGATTTTTTAATTATGGATTTTGTTGCCCAGTGCTAATTATGGATCATTTTAGTCGAATACTAAATCAAATTCGATCTGGATTTTTCCTGGACACTTGCGTTCTTTAATTTTGGGTCCCCTCACTAATACTAATTTAACATTAATGATATAAAACATATGTATATATATGACATGTATATTTTTCAATATACAGTGTGTATATATACATATACACACATTAATGTAAGGACGGAAGTCAAAGCACTCCCAGATTCAGCAAGATTGTATGGTCTTAGTGGCCAATTTTGTTGACTGGGGCAAAGACCTTTCCGTGTAAACGGGTTTCGGGGCGGAAGTTTGTGCAGTGTCCACTCCGAGAGCTTGTGCAGCCAAATCTCGTCTGAAGGCATGAAATAGGTGCTGCTAGTTCTCCAGTTTGAATCAGGCTTGCCAACATCCTCACGTTTTGCTTGCCAACTTTCAACAAACATGAGTCATGAGGCTTACAGCAGGGCTGACAGGCTCTCCCAAGCTTGACGTCCCAAGCTTTGCCAAGCATCTTGATCCATATGCTTGACGGAAGACTTCCGGATATGTGGAAGTGCTTTGTCAATGATGTGCTGGCAATCATTCTCATCTAGAAAGGAAGATATTTCCACCACCAAGGGCTGCAAACTACCTCACACTCTAAAGTTCTTTGCACAAGCCGGCTGACCGCTGCAATTCTATTTTTGCAGTTCAAGAGTCGGGTTTCAATCTGCAGTTCGATGGATGCCTCATTTCGAGGCCTCGCGATCTTTCGAGCCACGGTCTGAGGGTTCGGACGTTCCCACTGCAACGACTGAGGCTTCGTCTGGAGGGTGACGTTCCGTCGATAGCCCAGCTGGATTCCTGAGGGCCATTGAGGGCCTTCTGAAGAAACATGTGGTATCCAGAGCGAAGAAGTAGCAACGAGGCACAATGTGTTGAATCAGTTTCGTCTGATCAACCTGTGCCTGGCCACACAAAGGTCCCCCCTTCGAAGGCCAAGATCATGCCTCAACTGTCTACAAGCCAATAGATGGACAGTCCACGCCCAGCAAAAGGGTTGAGATTTTAAGCAACCCGCTGGAGTGGGCAGATTGCAAGAGGCGCAATGTACGAGCTACTCTGACCGCTCACCTCGAGCATCGCCATTCAAATCTGCCAAGGCTCCTGATTGCCCTTGAAGACTTTCAAGCTTCCGCGGTGGCATGCCATCACCCTGCAAGATTCCCTGAGGCCCCAACACACCAGGGTATATCATCATGTCCCATCTCATGACAACCCCTCAAGCCCGCCTCCACCGCATAAAAGGCGAAGTTGAGAGGAGGTTTGTTGTGTTTCAGCCTTGCCTGACAAAAGCACCCTTGCGCAACCTGGATTTTCATTGATGGTAAAGAAAAGTCCTTGGAAATGGTTGGATTTGGCTGAGTCCGTCCGCTGAAGAGCAGTCAATTGAAGGCTAAATGGAGGGTGTGTGGAGAAAGGGGGTCAGCAAAAATCGCGTATACGAAGTTAGTGCATCAAAACTACCTTCCACGAAGTTCTGCGAAGGTTTCTGGGATTTCGTTGCAGTCAGTTCTCCTACTCGCCCACCGTTCCGCGAACTGTCCACGAATAGCCTTGGGTTCTATGAATGTCCCGCGCCTTCCACGATGTTAGTAGAATAGGTTTTTGCAAAACTCTTTCTGTGCACTACCCTTCCGTTTACCTCTGATCAATGATCAACACAACGCTGACGGAATGCAGAGCTTGTTTTTCCTCCATTTCGCTGGCACATTTGCAGGTGGTGGTTGCGCCCCTCCATTCTCGGAGGATTGCACACCCGATTGCCTTCCATATACCAATGCTTTGCGCATTGACAATGCTGAGAATGACGCTGATGCATGCAAGTTTTTGACGCTTCGTCACAACTGACTGGGGCCGTCTTCGCCACAGCAGGGACAGGGAGGAACCATCGTTGTTTTTCTGGTATTTAGATCTTTGACATCCTAGCACTTTGGCAAGTCGATCTGAATGTGCTAGTGGTGTCACAGTCACCCCAAGAATCAAAACTTAGTTCGGTTCATCGACCACGATTGAGGTGAATTTGAGCAAGTGACCCGTGAAATCGAATGATAGAATTCTTTGGGGCTGGCTGACGCTCTAACAGTCAAGGCCTATTTGGCCTTGAACAAGTCTATCTGAACTCGCCTTGGCAAACCGCTCTTCATCCAGCGGCGAGTCAGTGCGGTTGGCCAATGGGAGCTAGGGGTCCCATTGGAACCGAAAATTGCCTTCTCCAGTCACCTCAGCGGCCTTCAAAAGCTTCAGTAGGACTTCGCCGATAGGTGGCCGGGCCGCCGCCTGACAGTCCCCAGGCTATGGGTGCGTTGGCCACATGCAACGCCCCAGTGATACAAGCCATATGCTGTGGGTGAATCCTTCCATACCAAACAAGCCCCAAACCCTGGTGTTGACCTTCCTTGTAGACTAGCGGCCTACTCTGCTGATTTGACAAATCGACGAGGGCGGATAATGACCCAAAGGCCCAAGGCGATATAATATATATATATATAATTATGGTTATATATTATAATCATAAATATGTCTACTGTAGTATATCTGACGATCATCGGTGAGAAGGCCTCATGTTGCAAAGCGTCGGCGACCAAGTCTTTGACAGCAGGTTCCATACCCATGGGCAGCGATGGGGGCATCTGCTGTACGAGCAACATGTTGAGGATCTGCTGCACATTACCTCTGACGTCAGATGGTTCCATACAATCAAAACAATGTTTTGGCTTCCGTTGGTGTCCAACGTGAATGCCACTATATGCCGCCATCGTTTCTTTCGTCACGTGCTTCAAGAAAGTTGTAAGGCCGTCGTGCCACACGGAGAATGGGTCTTGCAAACAAACCTGGATTAATTTTGGGGTAGGACGTGGCAACATGAATCGATTCCCGATTGCTCACCGCAAACATCGGGAATGTGTACATATGGAACAGTATGGAACAGTCACCCTTTTTCGACCTCCTTTAGACCAACAATTATTCTGAGGCTTGATTTGTTGACCTGGCCCGGAATGTGTTTGACGAAGAGCACCCTAGCAAAAAACAATATCGCAAAAAAACTGTCCTGTTGCTCATGAGATGACCTGCAGCCAACTCCAGCCCCTTCCAGTATGCTGCACGCTAGTCATATTGTCTGTATGTATATCTGTATGTCTGTCTGTCTGTCCGTCCGTCTGTCTGTCTGTCTGCCTGTATATATATGTATGTATGTAGGTATGTATGTATCTATGTATGTATGCATGGATGCATGTATGTATATATATATAGGCGTCAAATATTATAAGTATTCTCATTATTCTCCATATGCGCGAGTATATATATATATATATTATAAACAATGTAATACAGTAAATATGTATAGCGATAAAATATCCGACTATAGTTACAATGTTTGGTATTGTTTGAAGTCAACTGGGTGCAGCATGACATAGCTCGTCTGTTAAGGAATATGTGATGTGTCTTGGGAGACAGGGTGCGGCACTCTGAATACGGCTGGCAGGAGCCGAACATCTCTAGGAGAATGCAAGCGGAAGACCTGGAGATCTCAAGCACACACAGCGACAGATTCCATAGTCGAAAAGTGTAGCATGTTCAACAGGAATGGTCATGCAATGGCATTGCTCAAGCTCTGAAGGCTGAGCTCCCCGCCACACATCAGTCTTCCTAAGAAAGTTCAAAGTGGTTAACAAGTCGTGTGTGTGGGACAGGCAAAACAAATCCGCAGTGCACTGCGACATAAAATGAAGTGCGAGAGTCACTGAAAGAGGGCCCAGGCCAGCATCAAAGCATTCAGGCGCCATGTACCTGCCAACTGTAATCATGATTCAACTAGGGCTATATACAACGGGGTAGAGGCCGCCCATGCGAATCATGCTGAAGATTCTGCGTGCCCTTTCACCACTAAAGTAACTGGCCTCGGAGAGCCCCCACGAGGCAAATTCTCCCGCTGCATTCCATTCACCACACGCGAAAGACCAAAGTCGCCTGACACACAAAGCATCGAGAACAATCACAGAAACCAAAACAAACAAAGCAAAAGGGGGCCTGAAATGCCAAGCAAGCGATATTGATTCACAACAAACAGGACCTTTCTAAGGAGTCTAACTATATAAGAAGTATTTATGAATATGTTATATTGGGCGTATCCCATTCCTGTCACAAGTGGATGATGATGGTCAGTAAAGGCCTCCCTCTAAAAGAGTGATACTTGTTTACAGACTGTTACAGGTAATGGGACACCCCCAAGAATATAACAAAACATCATCTATCTCTCTCTCTCTGTGTGTGTGTGTGTGTTCGATGCCGTGTGCTTTCAAGCCGCAAATCTTCACATGCTCCAAGCGCACATCCAGAACAATGTTCATGGACTTCAAGTCCAGGTGGAGGACAGGTGGCTGTAGAGAATGCAAATATCTCACACCCTCCAGGAACTCCGCGGCTAGGTGAAAAAGCTGCTGCCTGCTAAAGCCGATTTGTCGCACATGAAGCGCCTGGTGCAAGTTGCCACCAGCTGCAAGCTCAGTAATCAGCACAATTCGCGAGTCTTCAAGACAAGCACCGATGAAAGGGACCAAGCGAGGATGGTTGAGACGGGATAGAATCCGTATCTCTGCAAGCAAGTCCTCCACAGCATCCTGATTGTACATGATGTCCTGATGGTGTAAGGCCTTGACCACCACTGCGGAACGTCGATACAGCGCCTTCTGCACAGTTGTGTGCTCGCCTCTGCTCAACAGTTCTCCAAACACGAGTTCCTCAAAGGAGACCATTCGCTCTGCACCCAACAGCTTTGCAACACCGTCGATGGTCAATGCTTCGTTGAAATCGACCACCGGAGGGTCCACTGGCAATGCGGCCTCCGAGGTTTGCCTCGACGGATTGTCACTGGCCGGCATGGCAGTAGATGCAGTGCCCATCAGCGGTGGTAAGGCACTGCAATCGTAAGGATCCTAGGTATCACGAATACAAAGAACTGTTGGTGAAACAAAACGGGATTTACCCTTTTGACCGATTGAACCATTGGACATCGCGAAGGTCTGTGACCACTTAATCCATGAATCCATGACCACTTAATTGTAGGAGTGCTGTGACAAAAAGGTCCCGGGCCATTGAATTGACTTCACCCCACCTCTCGAACTTCAATCATCAGCTAGAGAACAGTTGCCATCCAAACACCAAAAGAACAATTCCAGTGCCGTTTGCGGCATGACTGTCAATGCTCGTCGCCCTTCTCAACAGCTTTTGACAAAAGGATACTGTCGCAAAACATGCTAAATGTGAACTGATTAAATGCCTTCCAACAAATGTGGTACCAATACAAATACTCAAATAATACAGTAATTAGTAGTCATCCATGTTTGACAGCTTCCCCCCAAATAATCACCGTTTTTTCCGGTGCGCTGGAAACATTGACACGATGCTGGCTTTGGGAATAGTGCTTCACAAACATTCATGTTCATGTGACGAATGTGCATCACATGTTTGATGTATTCTATTGTGTTTTGAATTGCCCCCAAAACACCACACCACCCAAAAGACCCCTGGGAAAAGCCGGCGACAAAGCCATCGGGCCACCTGGGGTTCACTCTCACTCATACTCAGACCCTCTGAGGCACAGATGCAATGCGGATTTCTCTCAGCGGTGGGCCCGTAGAACGTAACACCACGGGTCGGACCGCTCGAAATTGCATGGCCTGGCGCATTGGGAAGCCCTGAAGCATTGTGCCAAAAGCGCACGAATGTGCACGAATGTCCATTTCAATCTTCACAACGCAAACGCAGCATGTATATATATATATATTGTAGATCTGACATGATCAAACCAAGTACGCAAGTCGACACCTCTTTTCCAAGCATTCTACACTTCACACTCTCCGAGGGCATTTGATGCCACGAGAGCAGGAAGCGGTTAGTTTGGACATGTTTTGCCTGGGTGCCTTAAACACTTCATCGTTCATTATCAAACACCCGAAAGGGAACTGAAAAACTGCAAGCGCGGTACAGGAACCGTCTCTCCCGGAAGAACACCAGCAATTCAGAACCAATATGAAATTCAAAAGGAGAGCCGACTGTACTATCTATGGGCACCTTGCCCCTTGATTGTGCTCCACGGCCATCCTGACTGAAAATTGCAGGGCCAGTCTGAGTTGAATGGGGCTTTGGCTTCGTAACATATTCCCTGACAATCTCAAAATCGATTCTTTTGGCTACTAGTAACAAGTGTTAGGAACAGGTGCATCGCTACTAGTAACAAGAAGCTACTAGGGGGTCATACCTGACTACAAGTCTTTGCGCATCACAAAGCATCCTCGTTTCTCGTTGAAACTGCGGCAACATCCTCCACCCCATTCTGGCACCCACCGGGTTCACCATGGCGCTGCCGCTTCAAACTGGCTTCAAGCAATGTCAGAAAATGATACCCGCTTACAAACTTGCTCAACCTTCCGACGGTTTAAATTTTGGGAGGGGTCGAAACCCCTTGCGCAAGGGAATGCTAGCAGTGGCCTCCTGGTCATTTGCATCATGACCGCCAGGCACTTCAAGGTTATACTTTTTGTAGACGACAAACATCATCTGCTTCATGGCACTCCAAAGTTTCAAAGCCCAAGAATCGTAGCCTCAAATACAAGTTCAAGCTCTTGACACTGCCACAGATGCCCAAAAACCATCAAACACCCACGCGAGGGAATCAAAAGAACACACAAATAAATAACTAATAACTATGACAACAAAGATCAGCTCTGCAGCCTTCGGCTAAACGGCGGGTTCGTTCATCGTGCTCCTTCATCTGCTTCCATGGCTCCTTGAAACAAAGAAACATCTTCGCCTCGGCAGACATGAAAACCACACTGGGCGTTCGCTGAACACCCATCACCGCCTCACCGGCCCGATCGAGAAAAGGAACAACAATGACAGGTCCGGTCTTTTGATAGGGCATTTTGGGTCACCTGCTAGCGGGAAGGCTTAACCTGACCCAACAGAACTCCCAGCCTTCGCAGTGGCATCATCAGTGTCAACAGCAGTAGAAGCCCTTATGGCGTCCCATGCTGCTGCTACCTCTTCATATGCAGCGAGCTCTTTCTCAAAGTAAGCCAACTTTTCGCAACTGCAGCTTACCGCAAAGAAGGTCTCGACGGAAGCCTTATCATGTTCTTTTTGTCGTTCCAAGGCGGCCACAAAGTTCCCTCGACAAGTCCTGAGCTTCTTGAAGAGATGATTGACCGCATGCAGCATGTAAAGGGCCCTGCAGTACAGTCTGGCCAGATTGACCGCGCCGTCCAACACAAACAAAATGCTGTGACGGTTGTCCAAACATAAATCCACATTGACATTGTCCACGGCGTCAACGGCGTCTGGATCGCCTTCAAAGCCAAGTTGGCTGCGATTGCCCTCCATGGCTTTCCACAGGTTCTCCCGATATCTCACAGAAGAGTCCAAAAGACCCAAACAATCCCCAGTGATACGCTTAGCAAAGGTCATAATGTCGCGGAACTTCAAGGCCTGCTGGAGAGGGTCAGCGGATGATGCAGCCTTTTCCATCAACAGAACCAAATCCGAGACCTTCGCGGTACTAGGGACTTCTAAGTCGAAGACTGGACCAAGAGCTGTCGATTCAAGAGTCACCGGTGTACTTCTTGCCTTGTCAAAGAGTAGAATCATACACTCAAAAGCAAGGTTGTCTCGCATCCCTTCTTCCCATCGCTCTTGAACACGGCATCGGCACAGCCATTCAATGAGCTCAGGGAAATCGACGTAGCCGTCATAGTTTCTGTCTGCTGCCTTCAGCATCCCAGCGGCCTCGCTCTCCGTGATCTGGATGCCCATTTTTCCAAACTCTATCAAGATTGATTCTGCCGTGATCCTTCCATCACCTTGACGGTCCAACCTCTTGAACAATGCAGCGACTCTGCGTGAGGACCTCTCATCCAGTCTCCCTACTCGGAGTGGCAGCCTCAGGACAACACTGGGATATATACACACAGCACTAGGATATACAAGGATATACACCGCAATATGTCAACCGTTGTGTCATCAAATCCCCCTGAGTTCCTTGATCGAATGCAAGTCTCAATCGTTATCAAATTGTCAACCATTGGTGATGGGTAGGACAATATGGACAATAGGTGTATATATCGATAGCGGCCAAGTAGCACTGGGGTATCCTCAACGATGTCATCCACTGCCACTTCCACACTGCCATCGTGGACGTGGACGGCGCATTCGTTGCACCATGCCATGCGTAACATCCCATGCGCATCTGCCCCGGAGACTGCAGATCAATGTCTAAAAAAAATCCATGAGCAACGCATCTTTAAGCCGAAGAGCATGCCGAATCACAAGAACTTATCAAGCACAATCCTTTCATGTGCATGCGCATTCATGAAAATGGATCATTCATGAAAATGGATCTCACCATGCAAAACCATATACCCCACAATACCTCATTTTCAGTCCAGTCTGCCCTACACCGGCATACTAGTGGGCATCACAGCCAAAGGATGCACTTCCTGACTCCAAAAAAACAACTCCCGGCCTGAATGCATGAAACTGCTCGTCGGTCTGCAAATCTTGAGCCATGCTGAGCTCAACATGTCAGGCGCAGATTGGTGTCAACAACTCACGATGGGTCTCTTTGGGTGTGCAAGTGACCGCCTCACAAAGTCATAAGAGGTGCCTCTCATGTTCAGTGGAGTTCTTTTGCGGTGCGCTTGAGCCCTCGCTTGTGCCCTCCAAGGGAAGCCCCACCTGCAGAAGCTTTTCATACCGCTCTTGATTGAGCACCGATCTCTGTACCTGAAGTGGATCCCGTACGTACGTCAGCACGTCAGCCAGTCAACACGTCAACCATCCTTGATTCTAAATTCCCTTAGAAACTTGCTTTGATCCGATCTGGCCGGCCTTTCAACTTCAACATCTACTGAAATGCACGTTGTCTGCCTCAATCCTTCCCAAATGTTCAAAAAGAAGACCTCCCAAAAAGGTCTCAGCCTGGATCTGTACCTATATAGATACTGTGTATTTGTATGGGAATATGAGCAAATACATACATCTAGTCGATATATAGTTAAAAAGATATAGTCATACAGTCATAATTACAGAATATCATTAATATCAGTATCATCATATAGAATCATCGAAGGGATGCTCACCGCTGTTTCCACGTTTGAAGTCAGGAGTCTGTCCACTTCGACCAAGGCCCAAGCCACCAGCAGGTCCTGCAGGGAGACCAAGCTGTTGAGGCCTTCCTCCCGGAGCACAGAAGCCAAGCCCGTCAACTCCTGGGAATTCCATCTGGGCCGTGTGGCAGGAATTGTAACTTGTGCCGGAATTGTACGCGTCTTTCTTATTTTCTCAGAGGGATGCTGTACAGGAATGTCATGTATGAGACGCGATGTTGAATGCATGTCACATGTCATTGTATGGATTCTGCGTAGACTAAAATCTGGAGTGCTGATCCTCTGCCCTCTTGTGTGGATTGGTCAACTGGGCCCACCATAGTTTGGCCTTTCTTCTGAAGCATGCTTGCCCACATGTTGGTTCTAACCTACAAACGCATGTGGGCTGTGTGAGCAATGGGGCCACACTTCCCCTTGAAATGCAGCTCCATGCTGCCATAGATGTGCATAGCAAGCAACTTGTTGCAAACATGCAACATGCATCAAGTGTCAAGATACAAAATTGCCCATCTTTCCCTCAGGCTGAGCAGCCCCACCTCGCAATCCTTAGCAACTTGTGGCCCAAAGGTCCCATAGGGCCTTTTCCAATTCTGAAGCACTCCCCCCGAAATGTGGAAAACATGCAGCGAATACTTACTCAGTTGAACCATGTGAACAAAAACGCCTTCCCCACTCAAGGACTCCATGGGCAATCCGGTCTCTGGCCATCTGTTTTGTACACCACTCGCTGATCCTCTTTGTCTTGAACAGCTTTGCACCTTAACTAGATCACACACATCATCTTTTGTCAAAGTGGTTGGCCACCTGTCCGCAACTGACACTTAGGAATCATCCAGCGCGTCCTCCCCGGCACAAATCCACCACTTGCCTGGCACGCCGCCAACGTCTTCCTCGCGAACACAAGAGAGGTGGGGATGCGCCCCACTGCATCTGCAATAGTTTTGATGTCCGTATGGCACGTCCATCTCAAAGACCTTATCCTCAGTCAAACAAGCGGAGAGTGAACAAAGTCCAAGATTTCTTTAAATCGATGATCGAAGCTAGAGATTCTTCCCGCTTGCAGCCCAACGTTCCCAAAGAATTGCCGGCTAAAACACACTAAACCTGTCCACATTACTGGCCTTTCCATACCTTGCAAACCTCTCAACTGTTCAACTGGAAGCAAGGAACCTCTGGCAACCACATACCCACAGCAATAGTTCGAACCGCATGATCGCCCCAGCGATGCAACCAAAAGCCGCCTGTCGAATCCAAATATCGGAAGTAGTCCTGGTGTCTCGACAAAACAATCATCCCACCGCCTTCCTGCCCCTCTCGCTCGCTCGCTCTGTCTGTCTCTGTCTCTGTCTCTGTCTCTGTCTCTCTCTCTCTCTCTTCCCTCTCTTTCTCTCTTTGAGCCAGGCACTTTGAGCTGATTATCCATATACATTGTTACATGTGGTTAAATATGTCCATTGATATAATATACTTATACATAGACTCCCCATGCTGGTCCTGGTAGGGGTCTGACCGGAACCAATCCAATTGCACAATTTCGATGTCATTCATGTACAGTTGGTACGTCCACTGCAAGTCATCTTCTCGAACGAACTGACGCAGGATGGGAGTTCCTCGTGGATCAATGCCTTTCATCTTCATGTACATGAGTGAATGCTCCCAAAAATGTCTCACTGCACCTGGCAGGTCAGGTAGCAAGTGCGACCAAGTGTAAACATAGCCTCCTTGATGCATTGCAGCAATGGGATCGGAGCTCACTTCCGCGGGAAAATATCCGTCGGTATCCAGCGTCATTGCATATTGGAACTTCTTGAGAACCGGCTGCAAGAAGATCGTGCCGCTCCTGAATCGACACATGCCTCGATAGCCCAAGGACCATTTGATATCCTCTACAGCAGCCTTGCGACTTGGATCTTCGGTGATAAACTCCGGTACCTTCAGATAGTCCTCCACGTAGGCAAACCAAATCCGATTTTTGGAGGCATTGACCACCTGACTGACCGTCTTTGTGCGGAGGGTAGGCCGCGGAGGTAGCTAGGTAGGTAGCTAGTAGTAGCTACTGAGGTAGCTATAAGTGGACGCTACTAACTACTGGACGCAGGATAGCTCACGCTTCTTCAAGGAAGCTCCCCCGCCTGAGGGCAGGGCGGAGCTTCCTTGAAGAAGCGCTCACACTAATCATTGGGTTCCTACGAGTAGATGTTTAGGGAAAATTAAGTTCCCCTGTCGATCGATCTCGGTCTGGTTACAACATGAGCAGGAGTTGACTCCAGGATGACCAAGGTAGGTATGTAAGATGTATTTATATAAATGATCTTAAATGACTGAAGGTTGCATAGGGCAAACAATTTAAATGATCACAAAATATCAAGATTAATACGTAAGGTTCCGTACCAGCACCCGCCGAGGGAGACTCACAACCTGACAGGCCCATGGCAAATGGGCCCATTTGCATGTTCTGAGGCACGTAAGCAACTCCCGATTGCCAAACGCGGCCCTTTATTATGCCCTTCGCGCTTGCACACATTTGTAAGCCAACCACACACAACGAACACACATAGCTTCTTGTTACTACTAGCTTCTTGTTACTAGCAGTAAGGCACCTGTTACTACTAGCGTGGCACTTGTTACTACTCGGCGATTCAATCGACCTGTGAAACGACCTGGGCCAAACTCAAAAAGCCGAACAATCGGATCATGGGAGCGTCGCAGGATCGCTGGAAAGCGAGCAGAAGAACTTGAGGCACAAAAAGTCCACTTGTCTTTCTCTATGTCACTATGTCATGATAACCCCAAGCTTGTCAACATTGATGATGAGGCATCTGATAGTTACACAGTTGTACAGTTATACATTGCAATAGGTCTCAGGAATAAGCTCTACCGCCTCTCAACGATCTGATTTCACGTCTCGCCGGGGCGCCTGCTGACGATGTAGGTCTGAAAGCCCATCATGAAAAATGACCACTGGATAATCAAATCGACGATTGAAGCGCCGCCAAAGACGCGGCAAGCTGTGCTGAATGTCAGCAATGTCAATGTTGTCATCCGAGGTGAGGTAGTGGAGTACTGCAGAGTAGTTTCGTTGGGAATCCTGTGGACTCGAGTCCACTTGATCGCACAACGGGCCTCGAAAGGGTGGAAAACACTCGCAAAAGCCGATGACACAGCGGCCGCGGTCAGTGGATTCCAGGAAGTATCGCATGCCTGGAATCTCCTTCGTCACCTTCACTGCCCATTCTTTGAATATCTCCCTTCCACTCTTGGGACGAGCTCCAGCTTCCGCTGTCGCTCCAGGTTCAGGATCGAGCTCCATCGGAGGTTCATCGTCCTCAGGTGGCAACTCTGACGGCACATTCTCTTGGAGTGCACTTTCCTCCTTCACCTTTTGGCAGTCCGCATCACCCGAAATCCAGCCTCGTTCTGATTTGATCTCAGCCGGCCGACCGGCGACCCAAATCCAACAAAGGGGTTGACCATACACCGCTGTTGGATCATACGTCCAGTAGTTGCAACTATTGGCAGTACAATGGGCTTCACAAGCCCCAACCGACTCTTGAAGACTTTCGGATGCGGCGGCGTCATTGCCCCAACCTCGATGGTCTGGACGGACACAATTCTCCTCTGGAAGATCCAAGTGAGCGAAATGCCGTTGGCAATCGAAGTTCCGCTGTTGGACCATGATGTTGTGCCGGTCCAGAAAGTAACACAAAATCTTCTCCTTTTCCCTCAGTGACAACGAAGGGTCAGCCAGGCGGGCCACATCGGGACCTCCTATCAATTCCAGTTTCGCAAAGAAGCGGTTGGACGGGATGCAGTACCATCCTCTCAGCCAACTTGCGAAACTTGACTCGGAGGAGTCTTTGGCAAGCGCTTTGTGGATATCCTTCCGCATATAGATCGCATAGGCCCCAGAGACATGATGCAAAACGTAGCGGAACTTCTTGACCTGCATGCGCTCCAGCATCTTGCTGACTGCAGCAAGTGAGCATTGCCCAAGCCACATAGCCGAGGTCAAGTATTGGTCCATAAAATCACTTCCAGCGCCCCCCATGTCCTCGATAGCATGCTGAATCCAGCCCCTTGCAAGAGGTGTATTGCGCAACTGTGGCCTCATCACATGCCACCATGCCTTACTAGAAGAGCGGGCAAACAACTCCTTTTGGCATTTGTCTGAATGCCTGTTAGAACAACTCTGAACAGTCGAAATAAGTGAAAGAAGCAAAAGTGTCTGGCTTTAGATCAAACGCCTCGAAGCGAGGAATAACTTCGAAAGGTGGTGGAATGATGGGATTGATGGGCACCAGCAATATCTTTGGCTTCAGTGGTGCTCCGGAAAAGAGGTACTCGATGGCGTGGCAATTGTGTGTCGCAGGGTGCAAAAAGAACAAATCTGGCGAGGGTTCGGCCGACTGCCGCCATACGACATCAAGCCGATGGAACAAATGCTCGATGGAAACCGTCTCGAAATGGTGACCGCCATAGGGGTGCAACACATCGTAATAGTTGCTGGGAGCAGACTGGGAGACGTCCCCCAACCTGCGTCCAGCCAGTCGAAATTCTCCCTTGTATGGTGGATGGATGTTCACTGAGAACACGTAACCACCAAAACCTAAGACCTCCAAACAAAGACTGGGATCATACTGCAGATCATTGCCAGTACAGCTAAAATTTTGAGCCCAGCTCGCTCCGCTTCCTGAAGGTCTTAAGGCAATAAAGGAATGTGACAACTCCATGTGTGTAGCTTCAATCTCGTCCAACAGTTGTACCACCTTTGGTGTTGATTCAGAGCCCCAGGCATTGAATCGCCAACGTCTTGGCCAACCGCTCTCAGACGAGGTGTCACCGTCTTGACTCAAGTAGGGCGAGAGAACTGGATGGCAAATATGTCCTGCAGCGGCGTCTTTCCCACCCGGACCCAGGTAGATACGCAAGGCTGCTCCGGCTGTTGCCAGTGACCTTGTGAGACTGACGAGTCTAGGCTTCGAATATGGTCCTATTCTTGTGGTGGCACGAGACTGTGTGGCAAATAGACGCATAATAGAATGTATTCAAAGCGATTCGAAACTCTAAGTGGTTTGTTTGCATGGGAAAGGGCCCGAGAAAAACTTTCATGAGGACAGCCAAAGCACCTAAGCAGTGTGAAAGAGAGCTCTCCCAAATCGCTCCGCGGAGAGATGTAGGAAGCTGATGATGCTGCAGGGTTGGAGACATCAAAGGTCACACCAGAGAGAATGATCTGACTGTCATTGTTCTTGGCTTGCCAAGAGAGAACCCTCATTGCTGGGAACAAAATTCGAGAAGCTATGCGAGCCACACAGGTTGCATGTGCTTCATCCCAGTCGATGCCTTGGGCAGCTTGATTTGGACCTCCCATCATTAGATTTGCAGCATAACTTTTGGCTTCGCGCAGGTACAGCTGAGAGGCTGCTTTGAAGTCTTCCGAAGACTCGTCCAAAAGCAATTCCAGATCAAGTTGTAAATTATTGAGCTTTTCAACCAAGTGTATTTCAGAGAATGCAATGTGCATGTCACCATCTGCACATGCTGAAGGACAAAGGATCAAGCATGCAAAGAGACGAAACGAATCCAAGATTTCCAAGAAGTCGTGTGCCAAGGAATTAAGTTGAAAGAGGCGAATATGTTCGGACACCACCTTCGCCCTTCCATGGCTGTAACCACCATAGAACCCCAGAAAGTGCTCCAAGGTATCTTGGAGGTTCTCATAGCTAGCAAAAAGCTGCCTGTGCAAGGGACATGGTAGAGGTCGCAAGGCGAAGGTACTCGTGAATAGAGCACTGGCTATCAAGTGAAGCAGCCACATTGCTCAAGCCTGGAGGACTTGTCCCATCCACGGACTCCTAGCCATCGAAATGTAGTGATTCATGTTCTCGGACTCTAGCGTATGTACTTGACAGTCTGATGCCTGCCCCTTGTTCAAAAGCATGGACCTTAGGATCCAGGATCTGCTCAGTATGTTGGGCCTCCTCATGGTTTGTGTCAGCGTTTGAGAGTCGGTGTGATATGCTTTCCTGACTGCCTGTGATATCGTTGGTCGAATGCCTGAAATGTAAACATGTCAATGTGGTCAACAAGCACTGTTGTGGAGTGAACGGTCAAGCACGGTCACATGGTCAAGCCGCCCGCTAACAATGCAAAATCAAACCTACCAAGGGTCAACGATGGAGAATCCGTGATTTAAAAAACACAAACACAAAAAATAGTCAAACAAAGTCAACTGGAAAAGTCAAAGTCAAAAAAACGTCAAAAAAAAAATCAAAAAGTCGAACAAATGTCAAACAAAAGTCGAAAAAAGGTCAAACACATTGGATGGCAAATTGACTTGTTTTTGACTTTCTGAAAATTTCTGATTTGATTGTTTTTTGACTTTGACTTTTGGGATTGACTTTTTTGACTTTTAATTTAGAAAACAGGCTCTTTCCAATGAAAGTTTTTTTAAAATAAAGATGGGCAAACTGGCAACCCAACCAACAATATGATGTCATGCCCTTCTACGCATCAACCTTGGTGATTCTCCATTGGCCACGAGAGCCTGCTCCGCTGACTGTTGTGGCAGCTCCAACCTCCACCCAAAGAATTCACAGCCGTGGTGCATCCTGCACACCACCCCAGCAAACCTCAGTGTCAAAAATGAAAGCCGCGATCTTAGCTACTGCCGGATTGTGAATACCCATAACAGTCGGTCCGACATAGTCTTTCCAGATCCTTACAGTAAGTCCATTTATAAGTCCTAATTGCTTGTGAGCATGTTACATCATTACCAAAGTCAAGTCTTCACCACCAAAGCTTCCAAGTCTTCACCCTCAAATCAATCACCACGAACCCCCATTCAGAATGACCCCCTGAGATCTTCTTGTCATTCTGATAATTGAATTCTAATTACATTCTAATTTAATTTCTTGTTTCTACTAGCTTGTTATTACTAGTAAGGTACTTGTTACTAGTAGCGATGCACTTGTTACTAGTAGCTTTTCTTCTTGTCCATTCCCTCCCCAAACATCCACAAACAAACTCAAAGCCAAGGCTCTTTCGCGACAGGCCCAGAAGCACTGCAGTGCTCATCGCCGGTGCCTGGCCAAAGCAATTCAGTGCTTGTGTAGGTCCTATAAATGGGCATGGCCGACAGCAACAAATTCGGAAAACAAACACATCATACATCTGCCAACCCCGTCAAGAACTTACAACTTTGATATACTTTGATCAACAAGCTGGCTTGTGGAGCATAAACAGTCATATTATAACTATATTGCAAAAACAAAGCTATTGAATGACCCGCAAAAAAAAACTCAAACAGCTGGTTCACCTTCTCCGCGACTCTCCTCCATCTATGGACCTGAGCACAGGCCACGCCTGAAGGACACTCGGAGGCCAAGCAAAGCACGTGATAACCACGTGATGCCCAAGATGGGGATATCCATGCCTGGGCTCGCAAATATAGACACGACTCACAGTGACGTTTCCGCGTTTGTCACTTCTCACCACCTTCAGTGCCACTGAGTTGGATCGACATTTGTGCTTGCTAGTAGCTTCTTGTTGCTAGTAGTATGGCCAGGAGCTACAAGTGGCGTCCTTGCTCCTAGTAGCTTAGCAATATATAGTAGAATATAACGAAAGCTTTCCCAGGGCAAATCTGAATTTGGCCCCCTGGCACATATTTGGATTTTGGAAGAGAAGGACACATTCAAATAGTTTTTTTCTGGAATAGCCCTCAAGGCTTTCTGGGAGCTGATGGGGCATGAGATCCAAACAGTGCCGGAGGAGAGCAACTTAGCAGAATTATCCCCTTCAACTAACGTAGGCCGAAAACTGACCCCTTTAGTAAGGTGGAGAGAGGAGAGAGATCAACATAATTTTTTGCGAGAACAAACATATAGTTGGAGACAACAAACATAGTGTGCAAACATAATTATGCGCACATATGTGTGGAAAGAGTGAGTTGGAGCCCGCCCTTGTGAAGAACATCACCAGCCCTTGTGAGCGCGATGGCTTGCACAGCCAAAGGCTGTCCGGGTCAGCAGCCGTACTCAAATCTCGCAACTCCCAAGGGCTCAGCTTGTCACTACCGCGGTTGTTCTGATCAAGTCGATGTACAGCTCAACAAGGCTGATCTGTTATTTGAACGGCAGTGACCCAGCTTCCATCCCCCAGGATTGAGACGATCAAGCATTTGATTGAAGGATAGGGCTTCAAAAACTGTTGGTTTACGGAGACCATCTGCCAAACCACATAATATATCCATAGTATATCCATTATATTGAGAATGGTCTGATATACAAAAAATGTTTATACACTTCATACCTCTGGGCCCATTTCGCAACCTTGAGACGATGAGCTGTATTTCGGCCAACAAGAACCGAAGCTTTGCCATCTTTCACCACCTTATGCTTCTTGTTCCCTGGAGTGACCATGACTATCATGGATTGCTGTGAAGCTTGGAATACGACTCATCAGGCACAAGCAGGGCAATCTTCTAGTATGACTAGTATCTCAGTATCTTGGAATACCAGGTTCAAGGTCGCAAATGGCATCCTGTCGACCAATCAGTAGTTATTTGCAGTTCCTTCTGCCCACTGGACCAGTGTTCCCGTCTTCTCCTTTTTCGGCTAGGAGACTTGGGGATCAGCTCCGCCGCAGTCCTCTTTGGTGACCATAGCACCTGCAGGGTGCCAAACACTGGTGCCCCAGCACCATGCTCGGCCTCTCAAAACAACACCTGATTGGACCCCCCTTTTTGTTTTAGGTTTCTTCTGTTTGGACCTTGTTTCTTGTTTGGACCTTTCTGTTTTTTTAAATGCTTTTCTTTAGCCGATTGGGTTTCTCCGGTTCGACTCTCATACACCTCATACACGCACCTGCGTGGAGCAGCGATGCGACTAATCGAACAGTCCACCTGTCGACCCCATTCACGCATGCAGTGAAGCTATAGCACTCTGCAATCCTTTAAAGTTGCAGTTCTTCCTGCCAAGAGGCTGCATCATCACACACTGCAGGCCAGCAATCCTAACGACAAGTTGAAGCGGGGCACGTGACGGCGAGCCAAGCTTCTGAAGAAAGCCAATGGCAAGTGCAACTTCCCACATAAGAACGCAGCAACATGAACATGTTTCAAATGTTAAACCATCTTAGCCATGTTCCGTCAGTCTTGGCTGGGAGGCACCCAAACCAACGCTGCCATGGCGGACTTGCTAGTTAGCTAGTTCGAGTAAAAACTGGTTGTAATCATGCAGTCGGTCTCGCATAGGAGGTCATGCGTGCCAAAGTCAAGACTCATGGTGGATGTGGAGCAAAGTTGGGGTAAGCCCATGTTGGATTTGTCCCAGTCGGTTGATCAAGGATGCCAGACCTCTGCTTGCACGTTAAAGGCCCAAAGCCATACGCTGCGACAAAAGCAAGAAATGACAAGAACTCATGACTCATGACTCATGGCTGGAAGATGGGATGCTGGGCGTGTTCCTGTTGAATAGGAAGGGAGAGACTAATTGATTCCTGACGGCCATCAACCTGATTCCTTAAGCTTCCGTGATCTTCATCCCATTCCTATATTTAAGTATCCCAGGCCTTCATCTGGCATCCAAAAACTGTAAGCTCCTTTGATCGCCTTAAAAGTGTTAGCCAACTTCGATGTCTCGACAGCGCAACTTGCCGCAATCTGCAGGTCAACTTGTTCAACATCTTTGCAAATCTGTCCTGCTTTGCATGTATTTGGAGCTATGTGACGCACCAACATCATGTCGAGTGAAAGAAGTAGCACTGGCAGCAAACCTACACATGTAATCTTGCATGCTGGCTTTGCCTCACGACTCCAATATTTGAGGGAACGCAAGCCGAAGGAAAGCAAAACAATCTGTATCTGCACAACGTTCAATTAACAAATAACAAGAATATATCGATTTGGCCATGAGGTTCCGCCACGTCTGTTTTGGCGGAACACGTCATAGGGCGCGGACGTTAATGCTCTGGCCAGCTGGCCAAGTAAAAGTGTATCCTGCACACATGGGGCAGTCCGGGGAGCTTGAGCTTATGGAACCCGGTCTGAAGACTGGAAGCAACTAATAATTAATAGAAATATATATATATATCTAACAAATATGTTATATATATATGATATATATATATATGTGCGTGTGTGTGTGTGTGTGCGCGTGCGTGTAAATTGGAACTTCCACGAATGCTTTTCAACGTGAAATATACCTACATTTCAGGAGATCATTGCACGCGGCTGTACAGTGCAAATGAGGACATTTCGCTGCATATCATATCCATTGGGTCAATGGTCCATTGGGACAAATTTATATTGGTTGAATGGTTGAAAGTTGATAGTATATGCCATCCTTATGCATGTAATTGGAACATCCCGGTCCTCTTCAACACATGTTGAGCAACATTCACAATCGCAAAGGCACATGCGTAATATACACAGTATATTTACAGAACATAATGAAACATATACATATACACTATACACGCATGCGTACATATTAAATTGACATGGTCAACCTACATTCCTGAGAACGTTTGGGGTTCACTATGGCACTAGCGTGCTTGCTGTAAGACTTTGCACTGGAGTGACCAATCTGTTTGGAGGATGATTAAGGGCGCTATTCCAACATCCTTGCCTGCGCTGGAAGGCCATAATGTGTCTATCCAATTTCATCAGCGGGTGATTGATGATTCACTGATAAGTTTCCTACGAAAGTAGAATATATAAGTAAACTGAACTTCTCGGGAGAAGTTTGGCCTCTGCGGAGTTGCAAGCAATGACCTTCAAGATCTTGTCGTTCACCCTCAGTTTTGCAAAGTCAT